TGCTCTGCAGCTTCACTTTACCAGTGTCTCTTGGTTTATTCTTAGATGCATGTTTTATTCTCTCCAGACCAAACATCCATGTCTCTAGAGGCCCTTGCCACATTTTTTCCTCCTACTACTGATCACATTGTCATCTGCAAACATTATGACCTGAAACACTAGACCAGGGGTCACCAACCTTTTTAAGGCTGAGGGCCAATTCAAGGATACTGAGTCATAGGAAGGGCCACCAATACTGACCCATGCACAGCAAGGGTCAGTGTTCACCTAAACTTCATTTTACATTATAAACATTTTCGTTGTTTTCTTTAAAGGCACACTATGCAACATTTTTCAGTTAATTAATGTGTTCCATAACGTTTTGGATGATTAAATGAGTCATTTCAGGTTGAACAAAGGTATTCTCGGCCGCCCTGGTCGTCTGTGGGGGAAATACCGCACTTGCAATTGCAGGAGCACCGACCCGCACCCACAGGCTCAGAAGTCTCACGAGAGTCAGTCTTGCTTTACAGCGAGAACTGCTACACCCCCCAGTTAAAAGCATGCTCGTTGCCTTGACGCGCGTCAACCATTGACTTTGCATGTAAACTCGCTGCTTCTGTCGCGCCAGCTGAAATCGCTTCATAGTAATGGTGTTTCTCTTCTGAGTAACATTCAACTGAAATGCTTCAAAAAACTGATTTGATAATCAGAAAGTTGGAGCATCCTGCATTAAAAATATAGTCACTTTCCCCCCTGAATTGCTTGCTTGTCATCCACATGCTCGTCTTTCCTGTTTATAAAACATTATGTTTCAAAGCTGTTTGCAGAATCAGCCTACAAAGAGGTGCTTCAGTTCTAAGACATTAAGCAGACCGAATTTAACAAGAGAGCAAGAAGCTCTCCAGACCTTTGCAATCCTATTGGTAAAAGACACACAGAAGGCAACCTATTTAAAGTTTTCACTGTCCAACACTGGAACCATAATCCGGAGGAGAAAAGAACATATTATCACCATAAACCAGCCACAGCTGGATGCTCACCTTGACAATTTCTGACACAGAAGTCAAAATCATAATCAGACCCGGCGCCATGGACCTCCCCACTGAGAGCTTCACAAAGACCAGGAATTAGCATCTTACAGAGAAAAGCTTTAAGGCTGAGAAAAAAAACTACTTGGAGTTGATATACATTTTCTGTACGTGCCAATTAAAATACAATGGAAACAAAATTTGGACAAAAACATAAAATAAAATAAACCTTATGACAGATTTTTGGGGGCACCATGTTTGTAAAAGGAAGGAACTCCTAATTACACCGAAGCAAACACACTGAGGAATAGCTAAAAATAAACAAATATAGAAGTAATTAATGAAAAAAAAATGTCAGGGTGCAGATTTATGAAAAATAAACCATGACTTATAAGATTATAACCTTCATCTAGTTCCTTCAACTCTGCATTTCTGTTGTGTGCTTTAGAATATTCTTTCCCCATTTAATCATTAAGCCTCCAAACTAAAAGGGAAAAAAAAAAAATCAAATTGCGAGTTAATGAGCTGCTGATAGTATTATTTCACAGCCGGTTCCCGTGTGCAGTGACTGATGTCGTGTACCGACCTGTTAATACAACAAATTAGGAGTTCAGCGTGTGTTCTTACCCTCGGCAAAACCTTTGGAGGAGTCTTGGCCTCAAGGACACTCGAGCTCACATGTTCAGCTGCTATCAAGTTAGACCATCATTTGTTTCTGTTATGTAACAAGTACAATCTGAGAAACTCCAGCTGCAGTTCTTGTTAAGTTTAGATCAAGAATGACTGTAACTCCATGAAGAAGCAAACTTCGATCATGTTTATCTACAAAGACTTTTTAAAAGTGTTCAGATCAGCATTTTCTCTGTCATCTGATTTCAGATGCTCAATCAGAAGAACCACATATCTCATCTCCATCCCCTCAAAGCCTATAGAAGAGCTTTTGTTGGGAAATGCACTATACATGTGAAGCTGAAATGAATGATTTAACCCAGATAATGTTTTGATTGCCTGTTGAAAAACTTTACATTTAAGTAAAACCAAAAAACAGGAATTGGTTTTGCATTCATATGCATCTATGGGTTGCATCACTTATTTCGATTGTTTTTAAAGCTTTGTGGTGCAACAGAACATACATTTGTTCTCCATCATGGAGGTGTAGAAACTCAGAGAAAAAAAGAGTTCAAAAACTAAAAATTATGTAGATTAGGGGTCTGCAAACTTTAGTCATTGAGAGGCAGCATCACACTTTGATCAGAAGGCTGGATTACATCCATGGCAAACAAACATATTCTTCAACTTCATCATTTGAACCAACAGTTACCAGATATTAACCCTTCTGGACTGTTAGGTTAAAAAATGTAGGTTCGTAAAAGAGGGATTGTGTCCACATAGTAAGGGATTTTCAACAGCTTCTGCAGAAGGGGAGAAAGAGCTCAACCCAACACACTATTCTCTCTCTCCCAGACTCCCCTCCTGCAGTCCCCTTTTATTAACAGAACATAACACATCGTTACAAAACAGAGTATTGTTCTGACAGAACAATTGATCAGGTCATAAGACAGAATGCTCCACTGACTGAATCACAAGACAGAGTGGGGTATGTGGACTCAGTCCCTCTTTTACGAACCTACATTTTTTAACCTAACATGGACCAAAGTATAACTTTTTTATTTGTCTGCTATGTTTTTCTGGATAAAGAAGAATGAAACTTCTTCTCCATCAACTAACTTTTCTTTCATAGAAACTGTAAGTCTGCATTTTCCTTCCATCTTCTCACAAAAGCAGAAAATACTTAACTAAAAAAAAACCAAAAACATCAATTTTCTGTCACGCTTATCCCTGCTGGGGTTGCGAGGGGTGCCGGTGCCTATCTCCAGCTGTCAATTGGAGAGAGGCGGGGTACAAGCTGGACGGGTCGCCAGGGCAACATAGAAACGAGCAGAACAAACAACCATTCACGCACACACTCGCACCTAAGGAGAATTTAAAGAAGCCAATTAACCTAACAGTCATGTTTTTGCACTGTGGGAGGAAGCCGGAGTACCTGGAGAGAACCCACGCATGCACAGGGAGAACATTTGTCCCATCTGTATATTTGTAATCTTCTTTAGTATTTAAACTAGTTCGTTGTTAGATTTTTAGTTATCCGAGCAGATACCTATATTTCTGCTAGGTTCATTATATTTTATTATGCACCGTGGGGTTGAGAGGACTGCAATTTCATCTGTTTACCATGTAGCACATTTGACAATAAAGTTGAGTTGAGTTGACATGCAAACTCCATGTAGAAAGACCACAGGAATGAAACCCAGAACCTTCTTGCTGCAAGGCAGCAGTGCTACCCACGGCTCCACTGTTCAGCCCCAGCTCTCACTTCCCTTTTCTTCTTTTAAATGTAAATTGTCTTATTCCAGTGGGAAGGTGTCAACCCTTACAAGCTTAACTTGAGAACAAAAGTGTTTGTTTTAAGAAAAACTGAATGTTAGATTTACGTTTTTTGATTTGTAGGTCTGTATCATGACAGCAGTGCATAAATTTGGAACCTCTCCTGCAGATTAAACAATAATAATCCCAGAAGTCTGAAATTCATTCTACATATCCAGCCACATATGAGGTCTGTTGATATAACATTCGATTCAAAGTTCAAACAAACAGCTGAGATGGCAGAGTGATGGATGTGGGTTGAAATCAAGCAGAGGGTGCTTACATGACATCCACTACAAAAAGCTGATCTAAAAATAGGTTCAACTTCCATACAATTATAGTTTTTCCCTTCATTTCAGCTGATAAATCAAATGAGCTGACAAAGGAACGAGTGTTCTTGTGCTTAAAATGAGATGATGATGCACTTTTTATTATATTTTTAAAGATAAATAATTGTATTTAATTTCAATAAAGACAATTTTGACTGACTTTCATTGTATCCCAAGAATCTGATACGCTGAATCTACGACCAACTCCTAATTCTAATCCTTTTATTTTAGGTTAAAAACTGCAGAAATGTGGAAACTGTCTAGTTGCTCTTTGGCATTTCCACATTATCTCGAAATAAAATCTCCTCTCAGTACTTCTGTGAACTAAAAATGCAATCATATAAAACTGGTAAACAAGGAAAGCATCTTAGAGCCATCCATCACGTTGTCTTGATGTGTCAGGTTGTTCAGATCTGTGAGAGAGAAAAGGAGAGCTTTTTAAAGAAACATGAAGGCCAGAGCAGAGCAAGCAGACTGCTACTGTTTGAAAATGTCACCAATCCATCAATCTGATAGGTAAAGGCCAGTCCTCTCATTATACTGGATGTGTGTGTCTGCGCTCTTTGAGAAGAGGAGGTTGCTGACCCAGCCAACACACTCCACACACACCATTAAGGTCTGTGTTTTAATGAGCATCTTGGGGATCATCTATAATTCATTTACAGCGGCTCTGAACCTGCGGATGCCGTGTGTATCTGTGTGTTCTGCTGATCCGTAAAGTAAAGCATTCAAAACGAGTAAACTATTTTGCACCAATTTGTTCAATTATTAAGTATTAATAATAGTGTCTAAATTACTTTTTATGTGCTTTTAATAAAAATAAATTGCAAATACTGATCTGAAAGTAAATAAAAAGTTCTTTAAAAAAGTGTTTTTGCTCATAAATAAGCCACCATTAAGATAAGATATTATGCACTATTTTTATATTTTAAACAGAACTCATCCTATTCTATTTGCAAATTGTTTACTTATCTGCTCAAATACACATATTTAAACAGAAATAGACTTATTGTTCAGGGCTTTTTTGCATTTTTGCATTTGCATATAAATCTGAAATCTGGTTTACTTTTAGTGATAATCTTCTAGACTTTTCTCAGGTGCATTAATGGGTTAAACATCTTGGCTCATTTGAGCGGGTCGAACTAAAATATCCCGAACAAAAGCTCATTGATTTCTATGCGACTTGTTACAGCTGTAGCACAGGACACCCTTCCCCCGGATCAATAGATCAGATGTCATGTTCATTATTTTCTCTCTTGGCAGGTGCACCGCTCTACACTACGACTCAGATCTTCCTCCAACATCCATCATCATCACCTTCCACAACGAAGCCAGATCCACTCTGCTCCGCACCATCAAAAGGTAATTTGGCTTCCTGGAAGCAGGGATGCATCGCTTCACCAAACCTGCAGTTTGGACTGGTTCTTTTCTGAGTTTGGGAAAGAAATGTGATAAATCTAATTACTTAGGATCCTTTTTTTATTATTATTATTTTAGATACAAGTCTTTCCATTTAACCTTTTATTTTACCATCAGTTGTCTACAGTGTTTGGAGGTTATAACAGGTCGTTTATGCTGAGCTGCATAACTTTGTGACAACTATTCATCATTATCCTCCACAACTTTTTGCTGTATTTTCTGAGAGGCTGTTTGAACCCTGCAATGATTAAATGTTTTTTTTTTTTTTTTTTACTGAGCAGGTCTTTTCATTGCTGCCTTGCTTGCAGCAATAAAGTCCTGGATTTTAATCCATGCCTTGATTCTTATTGCATGCTGTCCCTTTAAATGCCTGTTCTCTGGAAAAAATTTAAATCTAGATAAGTCACATTTTTCTTAAAATACGTGCATTTGTTCTCGGATTGAAGAGGAAAAAGAAACATTTTGCCAATGAAACAAGACAATTTACACTTAAAGTAAGAAAACACAATTGCATTTTCATATTTCAAGTGCATTTTATCTAATTATCTTATTTTAAGAGTAAAAACATCTCATTTACCTACTCAAATTAAGGTTAAATACACTTAATATAAGCTTTTATTTTCTTATTTCTAGATTGTTTTTCCAGTGTTTAAATGCATGCTCCAGCTTTCTCTCAAAATACAAAAACATGAATGTTAGGTTAATCAGTTTCTTTAAATTCTCCTAACTAAGCCTGATTTTATCTTTAAGTTTCCAATTTGATGAGTTGGAAACATTTCCTAATGTTTTCTTCGGATTAAAGATTTGTTTTGCCTCCAGGGTTTTACTTCCTTCCTGAGATGAAAACTCTAACTGCTTCATCTTTTTTGTTTTGATTTTACAGATTTTGTTTGCACGTCCCTTTCTCTTAGTTTTAAAGATTTTTTTTTTATCCTTTTGTTATGAAATATGTGCTGTTTGTGGGAAATCTGTAAACATTAAGGAATTCCTAAAACATCTTTCCAGATAGTAACCTATTGTCGAACATTTTATTTAGATTTGTTTGGACTTCTAACCAAGGGTGTAACTTTGTAATAAAAGTTGGTTTGGGCACTCTAAGTGGGGGGGCTGATGGACCTACAGTTACTCAACCCAAACGTTTTCATTAAGTTTTTCTATTTTCTAAAAAATTAGTTCAAACATATATTTATTGAATGCTTTCCTATTGTTTAGAACACAAGAGAGCCATAATACACTGATATTTATATTTCTAGATGGTAGAGAGATGTCTTTTAATGCATTACATTTATAGGGCCCAAAAACATTTATGTATATATGTATAAAAAAAAAGAATTCCGATGCCAAAATCGATATATCATCGATATATCATCCCTAGAAGTACAATTTCAATTCCATCCATCTGGAAAAATATGGATATGCTTCATTTTAAAGATAGCATAGCATATATTCTTTTTGTAAACTTAGAGATATACTGTATTTTATTGCATGTTGCATATCCCAGTTAATCTGTTTCCCCTTTAAATCTGCAGCTCTCCTTACTTCTCTCTCTGCTCTGTTTAAAAAGATTAACGAACCTCTTTACTAATAGGATGACGCCAGAAACAAAATTCAAGATATGTAGAAGCTCTGCAGTCTGATTCTGTCTGTTCTATAAGAAAACGTGTTATTTTTAACCTGATTTTTTAAACTAGGAAAGAAGAACAAAATATATTTTCTCAAACTTCTTGCATTTTAATACTAACTTGTATAAACTTAAAATTTGTTGCTATTTTTAGCTGGAAAAGCTCTGTATGTCAAACAAACAGATTTTTCAGTGGTTTGATCTCAAATTTTTTAACCAACCCATCTCCTACTTAAACATCAAAGTAGCTGCTGGTTAATGTTCACTGAGTGCTGCTGCGTGTCTCTCCTCCAACCACTTAGCTACGCTCTAAGGAGTGAAATGCGATCGCAAATCAGATGCCTCACAGCGACAGATCTGATGATGTAACACCGAGAGGCGGGACACGGGAGCAACGGGAGAGAAGAAAAAAAAAACACGGAATCAAAACGCTCTGAACACAGATGCACCCAACCTCTGTTACCTTTGGCTAAAGTAAATGAGCGGACAGCAGAAAAAAATTGGAAATTATTGGTGGGGACATGTCCACTAGCCTCGTGAGACCATCCTGATCTCGCAAGCTTTCAAGGTTTCACTCGCAAATCAGTCTGGAGACTCTCCGTTAAAGAAAATTTGGAGCCGTTCACCAAACGAACGTCCAATCAGCGTTGGCTTTGAGGCGGGTTGAGGTGTGACGCAACGGGAAGCGCGACAGTTCAGTCTAAAGAACATGGTGGCTTCAGCCGATGAAACTAACGTTAGCGTGGCTATCGAGCAAGTTTTATCGGAATTACAGAGTATTACTTCACTGAAAGAAGAGCAAAACACTGCTCTGGAGGCTTTTCTCAGAGGAAAATATGTTTTTGCTCTTCTCCCGACTGGTTTCGGCAAGAGTAGCCTGGCTGTTAGTACGTCATATGCTTCGTTGATCTGATTGGTTTATTTGGCCCGTCTATCACCAACATAGGCCAATCAGCAAACCATTATTTTCGCCCCTTCCCAAAATTACTTCAACGGAAGGTTTCCAGATGGATATGCGGAGCAAATCCATCTGGCGGAGTCAGGTTACATGTCCACACCAGTCCTTCAGAAAGTTACGCCTGTGCTTCTAACATATATTAACACTTAACTTTATTATACTCTTTTCCTGGGCCATTGTTGAGCTTTAATTTTCAGAGTGATGCTCATACAACAAAAAGGCTTCTGCTGCTAAAAAGTGGATCTTTTAGCCAGAGCTGAAGCAAAACTAAATTGACTTCAGTGAACATACGATGTAAATAAAAGAAACAGAACACCATACATGCCTTATTTATGATTCCCTGGATGTCCGAGCATCACTTTAATTACTGCAGAGCTTCTTATCTTATCCTCTTTGTGCCAAACATGTATTTAAATATATTTACAGTTCAGAAACTCCAACCTCGAATATTTCCATCCATCTCATCTACAGTATCCATCCATCCATACAACCACGCAGGAACACACAATTTAGAGATGCCAGTTAGCATTACAGTCATTTTTTTGGTCTATGGGAGGAACTCAGAGTACCCAGAGTGAACCCACACATAAACTGGGAGAACATGCAGAAATACCCCGGGCCAGGAATCAAAACTAGCACCATGAATCTTACTTGGGAGCAGTACTACACTTTGGCGTAAATATAGGTAAGCAGAGACAGCAGTTGCTTACGGGCCCACAACCTCTTAGGGGCCCCATCACTGACACCTGGTAGGCTCCCTAAGCAATTGTCGACTAGGATGCCTCTTTGCAGATGTAATGGTGCGAAAAATTCCTCTCAAACCCACCTGACACTGACGAGACTGGCCGCACCGGACCGTATTTATACCGCAACACATGCCAGATTTTAACATGATGTCTGTAACTTGGGATGTCTATAACATTTGGTGGTGCTCTGTCACCAATGGTTCCATTCAAGGTCACTATTTTTCCATGTGTGATTGCACAATTGTATCCTCTTGGCCAATTTATGGAACTGTTGCCGTATCCTGAACCTTTATCACGTGTTGTACTTCATATGGGGCCCACCCAGATAATGTCGCTTACGGGCCTGATTTTGTGTCATTACACCATTGGTACTACAAACTGCGCCACCGTACAGCTTAGATTTTTGCATTCCTGAAATTAATATACAACAATATAAAATGTACTTAAATTAAAGGAGACATGAAATATAATTCCTGCTAAAATTTTAGGCCTGTTTTTTTGTAGCACCAGCCTCTTATTAACAGTAAAGAAGTATTCTTTTGGCTGGTTTTTGTGATGTTGCAGCAGGATATAATCAACAGAGATTTTTAATACCCTACCCTGACCCTGAGTCTCGGAGCCATTGTTCGGTCCTTCATTTTGATGCTATCAGCAGGTTACCGACCAACATTCAGCACAAAGGAAACCCGCTAAGACGCACATTTCCCCATGTTGGCTGGAGTTCAGCTCATTATGCCAGTCACTCAGCAGGGACTGGATACATCTCCTTACTATCACAGAGGACATTGTGTGTTTTTCTGTGTGTGTGTGTGTGTGCTCCCCTTCAGCTCTTCTCAAAGCTCTGCAGTTTTCAACCAATTAAAAGACAATCTGTCTCCTCGGGCCCCCGTGCTCCCTTCGGCTCCCACTCTCTCTCTATGAACGTGTGTTTGCTTGCCCGTGGTGACTTGGAGCCGGAGGTAGTTTAGCTGCTTTTTAGTGTTATTTTCATAAATTTGGAACATTTCCTCTCACCAGGGTGCAGTGATCCTTTGAGGCTTTCGTGTAACATTTTATCTCGCCAGATTTAAAAAAAAAAAACGTCCAAAGAAGAACAAAAGATCTATCTAGAAAACAGTCAGTGTTGAAATACTTGAATAATTTAGTTATTTACATGTAAAGTTTAGTTGATTGAGCAAAACAAATTCCTATTTGTATCTAGAATCTTTATTTTAAGATGTTAAATAGATATTAATGTTGTCTTTTCCTAAGGTAGATGCTGGATGCAATTAGCATTAATATCTACTATAAACTTTCAACTAAAATGTTTTGTTTCTGTTTTATTCTGTATTCTCTGCTTTTTGTCTGGTCACTATTAGGGTTTAAAATATCAAATATATTCTCTTAAATTAAATCAGATACAGTAGAGGTTTGTTTCCCTCATCTAAATTCAGCAGCATATGTATTAAATGAAGGTCATGGACAAAAACTCTTAAATGAAACATGGCTTTTATACACAGAAAAAATATTTTTTCATTTTTTGTTATCACAATATAATATTTAAAAAATCCATATATAACAAAAAACTATTTCTATTCTAAATTCAACTTGAAATTTTTAAGAAAAATTTAATTAATAC